AAAAAAAAAAAAAAAAAAAAAAAAAAAAAAAAAAAAAAAAAAAAACAACACGACATCTTACCGGATAGTCCGCGTGTTCGGTACTATGATTGCAGACAATCCACAAGTCCTGAGCGTCCGAATCCTGTTCATCGGGTACCTTGCGTATGTGGGACCAAAAGAGGGCATCCCTCTGGCTCGCGGGCCAGATTCTCTTGTGAGTTTGAAGAAATATCAAAGTATCTTTGGACACGTTCTCAATAACGGTCATGTCCTCCAACGTCGTTTCCCAGCCGCTGCGGTACTCGGGACTAAAGAATATCTTACAAACCTCCTGGCCGGTGACACCCTTGACCACGTGACACGCCTTGAGAGGATCGACCACCAGTCCGTCAGCCTCCTCCTCCCGCCTGTACATCCTCATGTCACCGTCCTCGGCAAACAACTGCCAGCCCCCAGCTCCGACACCCAACCTCGCGCAGTGCAGCTGTTCAAGGGTTATCCTGTCGATCTGCATTACAAATTAACGAATGACTCTGGAGGATGAAAACACCGAGGGAAGCAACGAACTTGATACACCTACCTCGGGCCAAAGCCGGTGTTTGACAGCCGGGGTGTTGAGGGTCGCGGGAATCGCCACGGACTTTTGCTTGAGCCTGTCCTTGATCTGGTTATCCTCGTCGATCTTGTCGAGGCCGGTCTCCACGGCGTCGTAGAATTCCTCATCGCAGAGCGCACTGTGTGGCCCCTCCTGCGAACGGTAAACAGAACAAGGCTGGAGACTACGACGACGACGATGGAGCCGGGTACACATGGCCCCGACGGTCGAAAAACCACTGACTGCTTTTTTCGGACAAGTAAGTAAGTTATATGTTCCTTTGGCAAGGCGTGCATAAGTGGCACTCTCGGGAGTGAGGCAAGCCACAGTTGAGAAACATGGCTCATCGGACCACATGGAGGGAATAGCACAGCCCGGCAAGCATTGGGAATTCAAAGGAGCGCTCGCTCGCTCGTGAGATTGGGAAAGCAATCCCATACGTCATAACATACGCGACGAGTACAGCGGGGACTAAGTATATACACGGTTCATTTTATTACGTATTACACTTGGCTTCTCCGTCTCTTTTTCAAGTTCATTAATACGTTTGTTTTTTTGTTTTTTTTTTCTCCATTTCCATATACGCGTACACACCATAGATCGACGCGCTTTGGGTACTTTTCATTGCCCAGTTCATTTGTTGACAATCTCTCGATTCACGCGACTCGAATATAAACCTGACGTATGGTACTGATTAGAAAATGTAAAAAAAGCAGTTACGCGTGTCTCCGACGAGTGGGGTGAAAAAAAAAAAAGGCCCCGTACCTCGTAGTCGGGTCCACCGCGGATAATCAGCCGAGGCCGAGCGTTGAGTCCCTGGTTGGCCGCGGTAAGCTGGTCCTTGAGGGACTTGCAGATCTCTTGGAGCTTGCGCCTCTTGTCCATCTCCCGTTCGCAGCGCTTGCGCCAGGCGTCCTCGCGCTGCAGCATCAACTCGACGCAGTGCTGCAGGGTGGCGACGACCCCCTCGCTGGTCGCCTTGAAGCTGATGGCCTCGCCCTTGAAGTCGATGGCCTGCTCGAGCGCCGTGCTCCCGTCGCCGCAGCTGTCGCCGCTACTGCTGCTACCCGCCGACTCCGGCTGGCCGTCGCGATCCGCCGCGCTCTTATCGGGCTTGCCGGCCGCGCACTCGTCAAAGTACTTCTGGAGGCCATCGACCTGCTGGACGAGTATGTCCTTGAAGGTCTCGATCTCGGCGAGCTTTTCCCTCAGGCCCCGGGCTCCACGTCGGCTCAAGCTCCCCACGCTCGCCGTCGACTGGCTGTTGGACACCAGGGAAATGGCACTCCCGTGGCGCTTTAGGCTGTTCTCGCTCCCGTAGCCCGACTCGGCCTGCAAAACACCATCAACTCTGCGTTTACATTTTTTTTTTTTTTTTTTTNAAGCTTTGTGCTCGCAACAACCCCTGAATAGGTGAGCGGAAGCTGATCTATGTATACATGTATACATAAATATATATATATTTGTATATTATTTATACACCACATATAATAGTAGTGGCAGACTTGGCAGTCAGCTGAGCCAGTCAGCTTGCCTTGTCAGCGCGCCCTATAGCTTGGATCGCTGCTCATCCAAGCTTTGTGCTCGCAACAACCCCTGAATAGGTGTTTATGTATACATGTATACATATTATTATCAAACGTCGGGTTTCAAAGTCATCGTTTATTTATAAATGCGGGGAAATTCAGGTTCGATCGAGTGTGTTAAAATACTATCTTTGAACCGGGACTCGATGATTAAAAAAAAAAAACAAAACAAACAATGTGCGTTAAAGTGTACGTTTTAACATTCACGAGCTCGTCCGTGACATATATAGGTACCTATGAATGCGTATTATGCACAAGCTGAGTTTGAGTATACGTACAATAAAGTACACACACGTTGTTTCATTATCAGTTAATATCATCAGTTGTACAAAGAAATACGGGGGTTTGAGTGCTCGATTCAAGGCAAACAATTACCCCAAGTTGCGCTGAAAATTTCACACGTTCGTCAAATAAAAAATACGGGAGATCTAAAAAAAAAAAAAAAAAAAAAACCTTTTTCATTGGATTTCAAGAGCTTTCCTGTAGTCCTTATAGGTGTACTTTGCGTGAGGTGTGGTTTACTATTTTGTTAATTTTTCCTTTTAAATCTGGCATACATGTTATAGGGGACACCGGTTGACGACCGGTACGAGGAAAGGACACGAGCGCGAGCAAGTGTCATTTTTGTACATTACATACGTGCAAGTACTTGATGAGCCTCTTGAGCTCACGCGAGGAACAAACGTATACATATGTGTATATATACACACCTAATAAGTACAGTCATTGTGAGATACCATTACCGATACAAGTATATATACGTATGGCGATATTTATTACGTAAAAGACGTATACGTACTACAGGTTACATATATATCTATGTTTTATATATACACATATATGTCTCGGTATGTATTTAGGTAACTGTATCGAACGAGCGAACGGGATGGAAAAATCGACTGTGGCACAATAAATTGCAAAGCCTTTTTTCTCTTTGTCAATTTAACGTGGGAATGTATACCTATGTTATCTGCACACAAGATACGGATCTGATCAAACAGGTGCGCATAAAACACGATGGTAGGCAAATTATATATACAATATACACAAAAATCGATATATACGGGCCCATACAGCTTGGCCGGCAACCACCACCAGTGTGGAGGACGGGATACATGGGCGCGATCTTTCGACATTGCGCCTTGAAATTCATCATAAATTGACACATGTGTATATATTTTGTTTTTCTTCCTTTCGACCATTAAAATCAGATTACATAAAACTCTTTCGACACGGCGAGCTTTTGGATTCGGTTCCTTCACTTTGGTCGTGGTCCACCGTTAATTTATTCCATCTAACATTATTTTTATCGTTATTACTTACTCCTCGTTACGTCAATCGCGTTTTGTAGAAAATACTTGTATAAAAGACTCTAATACCAATGCTTTTTTAAGCAACAGTTTCTTAATTAGCTTTTTTTGCCAGAATTTTTCATAGTGTATATAGCAGTACAGCTTTTACGTACGAGACAAAAATAATTAAATATTTTATTCGGGAATGAAAAAAAAAAGTACAGAATCCGTACTTGCATCAATAACAAAAAAAATTAATTATTAGCTTAGTGTTGTTGTTTCCTTCGATTGAATGGAAACTGAGAAATGATCTGAAAAAGAAAATAGGCATCAAAAGAATAGTTTGAAAAACGAAACAAACATTCGAGCCTTTGGCTGAAAATAGTTGGAATCGTTTTTTCGTTGACGTAGCATTTAAATTTGAAAACTCATGATTGCAAGTATTTAAATATCTTGGGCAATTTAATGTAGACTCAGTACTTTTTTGTAGAAAAATCTTGTTTACATAATCGGAGTTGCACAAAGCGATAATCAAGATCTTTTTTATCTGCAGATATTGATCATTATAAAAGATATCTCGATCGACTAACAGTTAATATTTTCGAAACTTTTTTGCTTATCAATTGATAAAACAGTACATGATATACAGTTTGTTTTGAATTGATTTTTTTTATTTACAGTATTAATAACTGTAGATTTGTGTATTGAGCATAGAAATAAAATTGCAAACTACAAAGAGCACGAATTGCCTTTTTTTAACGTTTCACAATAGAATTCCGATTACTACTTTGAAAATATTCTTTATTGCAATTTTTAAACACTGCCAAGTTTATTAAAATATAACACCATTACTTAATTTTTTTACAGTTGACTTGCTAGTTGCTGACACTTGCTTGCCAGAGAATATATTTTCTAACTCATTGCGTAATAATTCGAAAATTGAAACATATATAAAAAAAAAATCAAAGNCCTTTTTTTAACGTTTCACAATAGAATTCCGATTACTACTTTGAAAATATTCTTTATTGCAATTTTTAAACACTGCCAAGTTTATTAAAATATAACACCATTACTTAATTTTTTTACATTAATACAATTACAAAAGTTTTAAAACACAAAAATTAAAGCTAACTATCAACATGCACCTGTTACATACGATAGTACTAGCATACTAGCAATAGTAGATAGCACACCTATTTAAACCACTAAATTTGTGTCAATAACATTTACGTATACTATACCAAATGATTTCAAATTAAAAGCATTACCTTGTACGATTTTAAGACGTCTACCCAACGTTGCCTTTCTTCTGGATGACTAGCTCTTAGATACCACACCAAACAATCATTAACAGATACATCGAATCTACAATCATCAAACTCGTGAGCCTAGTGAAACGAAAAAATTCGTGTTGATTAATGGAGCCGTAAAAAAAAAATTAAAACCATGTAGATAATGTTTCTATGTAGGTACCTTTATATCTGCTTTGTAAAGACTGATGGAACCTCTACAACCAAAACCACTGTCTTGTTCAGATTTGTAATAGGATAATGTTCCATCTTTCAAAACAATAAAACGAGTTTGCCACCCATGAATATAATTAGTCCATTTTGATAGAGTTCCCTGAAGTTCAGGCACAACGACACCATCAGAGCCTTCATCGTCATCTGCTGTCACATCACCATAATCTATTTCATTATTTTGATGTATCACCTTTTCTGGTTCGTCAGACATTTCTTATACTCAATTTGTTCAATATTCAGCACCAGACACTAATCTGCAATGAGACAGATCCTGAATTTAGTGGGCTTCGACACGAGAAGCTACCTATTTGATGAATATAAATGAAATGTTAGAAAAGGCAAGTAATTGTCTATAACAAAATGACGTAAATGTAGGAGTGTCTTTACTAAAAGGAAAAAGATAAATAAAGAGAACTAACCTCAAAAAAATGACGTTGCGACCATTTAATTGAAATGACGGAGGTAAATAATAATTGTATGAGCCATTCACTTGAATGCCGTGTAAAAGTAGTTTTTCAAAGTTGCAAAAAATATCGAACCAAGGTGAGTAATAGATAACTCATATTAACGTTTGATACACTATTAACTCCACCCATTACTTCAGCCACTTGTTATGGAGGTAGTTGGCAAAAAATTTAGCCTGCTATAGCTATTGTAGAACGTATAATTTAATTTACAATTGTAACTACACAATCATTTTTCGTTTAATGGTGTTTATCGCACTTGAACGATTTTGTTTACGCACAATTAAAGTTATAGCAATCGACTTATCCAACATAAAATGGTACCATGTAATTTTTATTTATGCGCAATAAAACTGCAAACTGCGATCAGTGCGAATACTGCGAATAGTGAATCTGCACAACAACATACAAATTGTACACACACGAAGGAATGAAAGAAGAAGAAACGAAGAAATTGAAGGAGGAAAAGAGACAGCTGCATTACGTGTACTTATATAGAGGTGTGTGTTTTGTGCGAACGAGCTGCCGAGCTATATGAATGTGAACTATATAGTATGAACGTAATGTATGAAATATGCTATACTTAGTATAGCTATATATCATATGAGCCATGAGCTAGAGTTAATTTCAATGATAAGTATGTAATGAGGTATGAGCAAATCTTACTACAGTATCTAGTATGATGCATCACTTTGCTATGTACTTTATTACATTAAAGTTATTTTTTTACGTACCTATTTACAAGAATTACAAATTCCGAGGCTGAAAGCCATTAGGTCGGTACTTACTTAATAAAAATGTAAAATTGCCTATTAGTGGCATTTTTTACTTCCAGCTGTGGGGCATAAAATATTTAATTTTTCGGGTTGCAGGTATATACTTGCCATGCATAAAGAATTAAACATTTCGTGTACGTAATTATATGAAAGAAGTACTTTAATTGCAAATATTCGAAAAGTACAGCTATAGATTAGGATTAATCGCATAGAAAGTTTTTTGATTTTACAGAAAATCACAGTGATACCAACGCTTTTTTATTTTTTGTAAATCATTTGATTCATATACCTGTAGCATTTACATTTTGCCCTAAAATGTATGTATATTTTAATACATAATTTCAAAAATCAGTGTGGATTTTTTTTAGTAAGTTACGGATACACCCACTGTATCTGTAATAATTATCGGTGGGTTCCGCATGTCAACAAACTTTGATATTTTTTGCTGTTTTTTCACTCCCATGCCACCCGATATTTCGTTAACATGCGGAAGCGGAAGTTCCACCGACAGTTAGTACATCAGGTTGTAACGCCATTAGTTTCCAAAACAGTAAAGTACATGAACATTTTACATGTTGCTTTTGTTAGACAACTGCGTTTTTTTCATCTCTTTAAACGAAATGGCAGCTTGGGAATGGGTATGACACATTTACGCAGAGAAAAATGAAGCTAAATATCAAAATTTACTACGATTAGTTGATGACCGCATATATATAAAAGTTCATTGACCAATTTCACCTATACTATCACAAGACCAAAACGTAAACAAATGGCCCCTTCACCACTTCTTCATATACATCCCAAAGCCTCCCCCCTCTCCAGTCAATATATACCACGTTTACCCCCCCCCCCTCTTTTATTAATTTAAAGGTGCAAAAGTGATGTGCCCCACACTGCCACACTGGTAGTCTGCTTGCTGGTATATATGTGGTATACCTAGTATACCTATATAAGTACACATATGGAGGTATAATTTGTTGAAAGATTAGAGTTTTTTGGTCGATCCGTACGGTAGCTACTTACTTGAAAATAAATTTTATTATAAATGAAATACAAGTGACCTCGTGATAATGTAAATAATTGTTTTTTTTTTTATTTTTTATTAAATATATAAGCTGTCTCTCGATGGTTTTTTATCTTGCATACTTATACATAACCTACTGAGCACAACATTAATAAATAAGAATGTGTAGATAAAGTACTATTTTTACAAGAATTTTCGTGTAAGAAGAGAACAATGTTAGATAGGCCAAGTCGAGTATATTATGCCTCGAAAGGAAAATACGTAAGTTAAGAAATCTTTTATTTTATAAACGTTTTTAACGATGAAGAGCTATTATAATTGAATAAACATTGAAAACGTTATTTTATTTCATTTTGTTATTATTTTTTTTTAGGAAAGCCAAGACATGGGAAAGAGACAGAAGAAATCGCATGAATGGTTATTTCAAAAATTTGTCAGATCTTTTACCTCCTCTTTTAGAAGGTCGCAAGAGAAATAAAATTGACATACTTATCCATGCATCTAAGTACATCAAAGATCTGCAAAGTAAAACTGACGAATTGTTCAATACTCAAGCATCAGATCTTCACAGTAAGTACATGTTGTTGGTAAACAGATTTTAAGATATTTTTAAACTGTTTTTTGTTAAATAGGAGAAGAATTGACTCGTTTGAAAAGACTTGTAACTCAACTCATATCTAGAACTCACTTGCTTTCTGAACTTTTGAAAAATGCAGGCATCAGCATTCCAGAAGAACCTGCTTTGGAAAAAATTTCACCACTCAAGTGGTCCAATAGAATCAATGTCTCACCTGGTTCTAGAATCGTTACCCAAGTGGAAACAAGTAAGATTAATATTCGATGGTAGTTCAATTTAATTTTATTCAATTCACAATCATGCAATTTTGATTATTCTTTGTTCAGATAAAGAAGAAAAAAAGAAAAAAGAGAAAAAGGGAAGAAACGTTAAAAGTTTAAAAATTAACAATAAGAAAAAATTGCTCAAGAATAAAAAAATTGAAGAGTTACCCGATCGTAATAAATACGTTTCTGAGGAAAGTACCAGTGAAAATCAAGAAAACGATATTAATAGCGGTTCTAGTGAAAAATCAGAAAAAAATGATGACTCAGTTTTGCCTAGTAAAAATTCGACTAATGATGGTTTGACAAGCGGAAAATCTTTCACATCTACCACAAGTAAATTTTCAACTTTAATTTGATTTTCATCCAAATTCATAATTAAACGTATTTTATTCCTAAATTTCATTTTAGAAAAACAAAACAAGGTGAAATTGAACAAGAAAAATAAACAAATGAAACAACTAATTACTCGAGATGTCATGGAGATAAATAATCCATTATCAGGTACTCTATTGCTCTCAAAAGGTAAATTAATGCCTCTAGTAACACCTATGCAAAGTTTACCATCAAACCTGTTTGTCAATGCTCAAACTTGTCCTGCCAATTCCATTATTTTAAATAGTCCACAACAAGGTCAAATGATTGTGGTTCAGCCGTTTCAAACGGTTAGTTCAGTGCAAACAATGACAATGAATGACGTGCCAAGTATTCAAACGAATGTGCTAGTGAACCCGCAAGATTGGGCAAAAAATGTAAAAACAATTATTAATTCTAGTAAAATTGGAGGTACTAAGGGGATTTTACCTAAAATACGAGAAGTTACTGAAACAACCATGACATACAAAGTTCCCATACCGGCAATTCATAAAGAAAAAATCGACGGTAATGGTGCTAACAAAGCCATGTCTTTAAACGAAAAATCAGTAAGATCGAAAAATGCCGTAAAAACAACGAAATCAAATGAAACGTCTGTAACAAAAGATCAAAAAGTTGCGAAAAATACCAAAGAAAACGCTTTAAATAGTAATAATACCTCGTGCAAAGTTACAAACAGTGAATCGATAAAACGAAACTTGAATTCTAGTTGTAGTCACGTTGGTGAAAGTAAAAAGAAAAAACTAAAACCTAACGAGAATGAAAAGAAAGCAAATGTTGAGGAACAAAAAAATGTACAGTATAACAATACTGTATCGTGTAAGTCGATTGAGAATTTAAAGCAAGTTGTCGAAAAGATTGGCGAAAATTCATCTTTTACTAAATTACAATCAAAGGATCAAACTGTTAGCAATTTAGAAACTTTATCGGAAAAAGAAAAAATCAGCTCGTCAAATGAATCAAACGACATTTCGTTGGCTTGTGGTAACTGTAAAGAAGAAAAACTGTGCATTGAAAAGTCGTCAAATTCAAACGCTCTTGAGAATGTTGAAAAGTTTTCTGGAAATGTAAAAACTAATGAAGAAGTACTAACAATAGACGACGTCGATAAAAAACAACCTTCGAGTTTAATGGAAATTGAAACTCGGATCGATAAATTAATTTCTAATATCGAAACAAATGACCAACAATTGTCAAGTGAGACTAATAATCATAAATGTGAGAGCGTTGCTGCTCAAACTAACAATACATTAGATAATAGTTCAAAATCTGTTGAAGCGATAATGTACGAAACAGCGATTCCACCTGAAAGTAACAAAGTTTTTCTAAATTTAGACACCAACACGACAACTACAATGAAACTGGATTCTACCGAAGATAAAAACGAAGCATTGCATGTGTCTAACACTCTGTCAGTAAAACTGTCCAAAGAAGATGAATCGGTTCAAACGAAAAAAAATTTAAAAGATAATCACAACGTAATTACTCACGCAACAAAAACAATTGCGTATAGTCCTAACAATAGTTTCATACCGATAAACCATAAAAACGACTCGTTACACTCCGACTTATCAAATGATATTTTTGCATCGCTTCACGTACCTTCGAGTTCCAATAATTCAGAGTCAATATCTCCAACAGCTGCATTTTTAATGGCTTTTCCAATTGTATCGTCCATTAGCGGAAAGACGGAAGTACTTGATGACGATATGAAAGATGAGTTTAAGTACAGCAGTCAAACACCACCAATGTTGCTACAAATCGGCGCTATAGAACCAAATAATTTCAAGATCCATTCGAAACATTCGTCGAGTGATCGAAACGTTGTGGAAACAGGTGTTCCTGAAGGAACCGATGCATCCGATTCGTCATCTCTGGTTAAACTTGATGCAACCAACCAAGTACTAAATACCAGTGGTAATAATGTTGTGAGCTCAGCACCTGTTGTAGAAACATCTTTGGTTGCACCAAAAGCTCTTCCCAGAGTTATTAGCGATCAAACTTTCACAGAGCCTTTTAAAATTGTTTCTGTACCTTTGGAGCAACAGCTGAATGATAAACAACTCACTGGTCAAGTTAGCAACAATCTTGAAAGTGTAACATCTGCTCCAAGTAGTGAAAATAATGACGATCCATCCTCTACCGGTAAAGTCGACAACTCAAGTTTGACTCAATCTCTAAAGACTTCAGAAGTATCAAATTGTATTGATAAGACGACTGATACTAAACTCCAAAATTATTCATTAGAAGGTAAGTCAGATGTCGATTATAGTTATGCAAAAGACGTATCTTTACCAACTGCACCCCACGATCCGATGGAAAATGCGATGATAAACAAATATGTTTCGACGACTTCGCTATCAACCACGGAAACTTTAGGCAAGTATCACGATACCGTTTCACAGTACGTGACTCAAGATTGCCAACCTCCTGTATCCAGCTGCACGAGTGCAAAGGAAGTGAGTGCCGATCGCATTTGTGGTCAATTCAATTTTGGATGTCAGACTTCCAGTGATATTCCTTCCCATAGGGATGATCTCTCCAAACTTCAAATTTGTACGATGGATGATTTTGCGGAACAAGGTGTCGTGAATTCCTCACAAAATAAAAAAAATCCAACACCATCATTTTCAACTTTACCATCCTCTCAAACCGCGGATTCCGGATCATTGACCACAAATCAAATTCAAGAGGCAAATTCAATTACGTGTCAACAAAAACAATTTTCCAAAGTTCATTTAGCTGAATACACGAGCAACACTGAAAATTTTGATTCCTCGAAAAAGCTTGAAAACCAGAAAAATTATAATAATACTAATAATGGTAACGATATTATCCAAAATAAAATTGACAATAAAAACAATGATGATAATAATAGCAGCAACAGCAGTCATAACAGTTTGGATAAGAACATTCATCCAAAGAACAATGATCTTCCCAACTCGGATTCCTTTAATGACATTTGTGGTGACATTTCAAACAAAATAAATAAAAAAGACACAACTGCTTCTTTGCAAGCCAATCAGACAACAGAAAGAAATGTTCTTTCAAACAACAACAACAACAACAACGGTAATGTGAATAGTAGCAGATCTAGTAACACATTTTCCCAACAGCCAGAAACATTTGTCAATACCTCGACGAATTACGAAGACACGAGTAGGTCAACGACTACCGTAGCAAACAACTCAAACTTCAGTATATTGTCTTGGACCATGCTCTCTTCGCCACTCAACAATAACAACAACAGTACGAGTTTTCCACAGTACGAGCAAATTCCATCTTCTAGCACCACCAATAATTTATCATTATCTTCCGATCAAGTTTCAAAAGTTGCTTGTGACAACTACAATTATCTCTCTTTGGCAAAGGACAACGTACCTGCAGGCAATGTCGATGCTTTGACCCAAACGACATTCTCCGTCGTGGATTCCCAATTGCCTGTCTTCGACAAGTCCAAAGTCAAATTTCCGCTCGACGCATCGAAACGATCGCAGAGTGACTTGACCAATAAATCAAGGAGTATGCGAACGCTGCAAGCTACATCGATAAACAATAAATCAAATCGCTCTTACAATCAGCAATCTGCAGTTTCAACTGAAACGTACAAGTTTTCCATGGATAACAAGAACAAATATAAATATCCGATGGACGTTGACTACTCAGCAAATAACTATTCCATTGGTGGAATGGGCGATCTCCACCAGCAACACCAGCACAATCAAAATCAGCATCAAAGTCAACAACATCTCGAGTCTTCAATCACGAAGCCCGGTACGTTAAGTCAATCTTCGTCGCATCAGTCTGTAAAACCCAATCCAAATAAGTCCAGTACAAATTTTACGGTCACGGATTTCGAGACTCATGCTAACTTCTCGATAGACGGCAGCGACGTGTCAAACAGATTTTCAACCAGTCAAAATTCTTATTCGACAACGAATTTCAAATACGCGGAAAAAACATTACAAGCGCAGCCAAAATATCAAGTTAATCAGCAACAATCGGCGCCGATGTTGCATCATTCGCAAGAGAATTCAATGTACAAAAATAAAATCCAGCAAGTGCAACAGCAGCAACAACAGCCCCACTCCAACCAAGGCAAAGCTAAAGTCGATTTGAGCAGTCAAGTTCAGACTCAGCAGCAGCAACAACAACAACAACAACAATTGCAACAACAACAAACACTCCATCAACATCAACAGGTTCATCAACAACAGCAGCAACAACAACAACAACACCACCACCAACCACAACAGCAGCAACAACAACAACAACAACAACAACAACAACAGACTCAATTGGTAAGGCCTCCGGTCAACTGGATGATGACACCCGACGTCAAGCACAACCTGAACGTCGATATTATTCTGCCGCCTTTTGGGAAAGAGCTGGAATTTTGTCAAAACAATTTGTTCTCTCAAACGTCAAATTACAACCAGAGCAGCTCGAACCATCAATTTTACGGTAATTACGAAATGAACGGCAGCCATGGTCTGCCAAACATATCGGTACTACCCGCCGAGACGAGGAAGACCACGGATGCGACTTACTACTCAGAGGACCAGCAGTTCTCGTGGTCACCAACGAAAAATCTCGCCCAGTCGAGCGAACAAAGTCAAGTCAAGAGCTCATCGTCCGGCGAAACGATACCGACTCTCGTTGCCGATCTCGCTCTCAGCGCCAATACCCCGACGACCGATAAACAACAGAATTTCTCGTATCCCCAAACGGCGACTTTACGAGCGAACGAGCTTAGAAAGGACTCGCTCAGAGGCAAAGATTCCACTCGTGATTATCAAAGTCAAATCAATCTGCAGAACAATTCATCGCACAGCATGGCGTTTTTGTCGGTCAGCCAGCTCGTTGAGCACGAGAATAAGGTTGAAAAGAGCCAACAGCATCAGCAGGTACACCTTCATCAGCCAACTCACTCCCATCATCAGATTCATCATCACCATCACCAGCAACAGCAGCAGCAACATCAACAACAACAACAACAACAACAGCAGCCCTCGCGTAAACAACGAAAAAGTAGCAGTAGCCCGCGAGCAAGTAGTAAAAGGCAAATGGACATGAGGCACAAGCAACAACAACAACAACAGCAGCAGCAGCAGCAACAGCAGTCGACTAGCAACGAGCAAGTTCATCGTCAACACGACGATGCGAAAGCAAATTCTAGTTTTGCCGATCTTACCAATAGTTATCAACCGCAGCCTCATCAGCAGCAACAACAGCAACAACAACCAAAGTACAATCAACAAAACGAGGTTCAGTGGAGAAGTAGAAATTGTAAGAGTAATTACACGGCCGAAGCTTTGATAGGTCCATCGGATACAAATAGTCACGTGGACAAGGGCACATCCAAGTTCCCGAATTACGTGCAAAACAAGTTCACGGGCAACTTGGCGACTATGCCTCCTTCGGACGCGAGCATGTCCTTCAATTATTTTCCCAATGTGGACGAGACGAGCACGACTGCTGGGTATGGACAAGTCGTCAACCAGAACTTTAATCATCCGTATGCCTATTCCTCCAACGCCAACATATACCCAACGAGCAATTTCATTGGCAACATTCCGGGCAATGCTTCGGGCAACTACATGATGTCGTTGCACGATAATGTAGCTGCAGATTATCTCGAGACCAACAACTTTTTGCTGGTAACCAACGCTCCGTCGTCGACGTCAACGTTGACGACGTCGACGGCACCTCTTCTGCAGAGTAGCAACGTGGCCGAGACGAAGAGTCAACAGCAGCAGCAGCAAATTCAGCCGCAACACCATCACAACCACCACCATAGTATTTCTCATCACCACGGTAATCATCATCAACAGCAACAGCCGCAGCATTCACAGCAGCACCAGCAACACCACCAACAGCAACAGCAGCAGCAGCAGTCGTACGCCTCGAGTAAGCAACAAGGCTGCTCCGACAAGAGGATGTATTTTGGCCAGACGCCGTTACAGCATCAGCAACAACAGCAGCAGCAACAGCCACAACAACAACAACAGTCGAGGAAGAGCAAACGGAGGCCCGAACTCACTAACACTGCTGGCGCGGTACAGGGTCTGGATTTTCCACCTCTGGACGAATATCAGCATGCCCCGAATTACTTGGCGCCGCCAAATTCCCTCTATGGGAATCAGTATGGTAAAACGACATTGTCCGGACCACCACCACCTCCACCGACGGTTCCAATGATGTCCTCCTCGACGTCAACCTCTGCTACAGTGCCTACAAGTAGTACCGCGAGCTCATTGGGGACCAACGCCATGATTATGGCACAGCAACAGCAGCACCAGCAGCTCCAACACAATCATCATCACCACCACCCGCCTGGCACCACTAGTCTTACGAACTTCAACCTCAGTACCATTTTTCCAGAGATCAATGATAAGGTAAGACTTTTTTCACGTACTTGTGGTTCTTTATCTTTAACATTTTTCAAAACACCCTTGCCACCTCGGTCTTATTAATATTTATTTACGAGAAACCATTGGGTTTGATTTTAACTGAAAGTACTTTGCTTGAACCCTGTAAAATCATTCTAGTTCACGCCTCGTATTTTTTTTACTACTCTTCGTTATTGAAAGCATCGCTCTGATAACGTGATTATTGAAAAATTAAATTTACAGGTTCAAGTTTCGGGTTACAAGTCGTCATCAAACGGGATGGCGTCAAGTGGAACACAACCAGCGAGCAGTCACGCATCCAACAGCAACTTTTCGCATCGAAACAATTACACAGATCCACTGGGTCAAATGGTCAATCGGCATTGAGGTTTTTCCATAAAAAAAATAAATCGGCACTCGACCTCGACTCGGACACATCAGACTCATAATGTACCATAGCAACATTATTGTCGATCGATTGCCTTTAGTTAATTAAACTTTATTTATCATCCAGCATCACTACAGGTGTTGCAAGTGATTTGTAAAAATTGTACATAAAAATTATTACATTGTAAGTAAATAAACGAGCAACACAATAACCCTGTCTAATTATTTTGATATACTTTTCAAAAATAATGTTTGTTGTTGAAAAACTTTCTTCATCAAATCGTTATTCCGCATGCGTGTGTTCTCCTACAATAAACAAGTTGGCAATGCTATAGACAGTTGTACGCATCGATCATAATGATTTATTACAAAAGAAGGAAGCGAGTACGCGTGCACTCGCAGTCAGATGAACGACCTTTTTCATTGATGAGTAAAGTTGCTGTCGTGTTTATCACGAGTCGTTCTTGTACAATTTTTTCCGGTATGAGCGCAAAAAAAAAGAAAAAAACTCTATCGACGCATAGTCGGAGGCAAAGCAACCATCCGAGCGGCCGGTCATAAATAATTGCAGAGGCGAGAATTATCACGAGTATAGGAAAAGTGAACGAGATCGGTGGTGTACGTAACAAAGCACAGCAATAGCGCGAGTGCACGTCGAAATAAATATGAAAAGGCTTTTTCCGATTTTACAGTGACATATCGGTTTTTTTTTTTTTATTTATATAAATTTAAATATAATATCATTGCGGATAAAACGTGTGTAATTTAACGTCAAGTGGATCGAGTAAAAATGCCGACGACACTTCAAAAATCACGGGTGGATGCTCGCAAAAACGATGGGCATAAATCAATGGATGACAACAAGTAAGTATATGTTCACGATCATTCAATATTGTATTTTATCGATGCTGATGAATATATAGTGTTTTACTTCTCGGTTATACAATGTCGTGTTATTTTCACAGAAAAGAAAGAAGAAATCAGATCGCACGTGACAAAGAGTTCATCCCGCGAAACTCTTTGCTTACCGATCTCTTCAAAATAAATCACATACAGACCATTTACAACATATTCCTGGTCATGTTTATAATACTTTTTATGACCGTGATTACTCACGATTACATCGAAAAAGGACAGTAAGTATGTGCGAATTACTTACAAACCTTGGAATTCCAGTCGTTGATAGCCATCTCATCTAATTTATGTAACTACGTGTGATGTAATGATGGTATTGTTTTTTTTTTTTTTTCATCAACAGGATAAATTTTGGTTTGAATACGGTGAGGTACAGTTTTGGAAATCTGTCGGGTGTCTGCCGCGTATGGATCCTCATGAAAATATCAACGTTCCTCGTGTACGTAGGATTTTCCGTTTGGGCCCGGACGCGCGTCAACTTTCCTCAAAAATGTAAATATTTACTTTGGCCAAGGCCATCGCGAAATAGCATAATATAGGCCCATTTTCGTTTTTTTTTTTTTGTTTCAGCGCTCGTTAAAACTATCTTGGATTACGGCTGTTTGTTGATTTTTATCGCGAGTCTGGTGGTGTTCGTTCTCTTGCCGGCCAAACTTCTTATCAAGGAATATTTCCCACCGGCCTCGAGCTTCATCATCATGATGGAACAAGTATGTGTCTATATTATTCACCTAAGTATATATGTATATAATATACACTTGATCGATCGATCGTACAGTATATACATATGATGTTCGATTAAATACATAAAAATGGCTGTCTCATACGTTATGTTGCACGACAAAAGGTCCGCATGTTGATGAAATTGTATGCGTTTGTGCGGAGTAACGCGCCAAACGTGTTGAAACGAAAAGCTGATGGGGACAAAAATCGTGGCGCAAATGTCAATCTTTGTCCGGAATTTTCAAAGTTTTTCTACTTTATGTTTGCACCGACCTTGATATACAGGGACGAGTACCCGAGGTTTGTTTGCAATTGCAAAACGTGACGATTACGTAATAAACACATTTGTAAACAAATCGAGATTATTATTACATGACACGTGAATCGTTTTCAGAACAAAGTGCATCAGTTGGCGAAACGTGTTGTGGTACCTCGTAGAAGTGGCCATTGTAATATTGTACTCGGCTTTTATATTTGAGCACTTTGTGATATCGGCTTTTGAAAGACACGGCATCCGCATCTTCGAGTCGCAAACCGTGATTCTCACGGTATTCAGCCTGACCTTACCTTCCGTTTGCATCTACATTTTTGGATTTTACGTCTTGCTACACTCTTGGCAAAATGCTATGGCAGAGCTCCTTGGTTTCGCCGACAAGTTGTTCTACACGGTTTGGGGAAAACTCTCTATGTGTATACATTCAGCATTGAAAAAAAAAAAGAAAAAAAAAAAGTTATCATTATTACTATTTTGCAGGACTGGTGGAATTGCACGAATTACAGCGCATTTTACAAATCTTGGAATATTCTAGTCCAAGATTGGCTCTACCATTACATATACCGAGATGTTTACGATCTATACAGGAGCAAAATTATTTCCACCGTAGCGGTCTTTTTCATCTCGGCAGTAGTTCACGAATACATCATAGGATTCGCTCTGCGTTTCGTTTACCCCGTGATGACGTTTATGTTCGGAGGCATTGGTTTGCTTGTTCTGTTTGTCACGAGGAATTTTCCAAAAATGGCCGGGAACATGTTCGTGTGGTTCAGTATTATCACCGGGAACGGTATAATGATAACTCTTTATTCGATGGAGTATTACGCAAGATTACGTTGCCCGCCTTACAACGATAAACTGCAAGACTTGTTGTTACCGAGAAGTTGGATTTGCCAGGAGATTAAGAATAACGTATCATCGCACCTACACGCTTGAAAGATAAGACCTAACTATATTATTGTCTTTTATTTTTTTATCATTTAGGTGTTCACACATCGCGTACTTATATGCATAAGGTTTTTTTTTTCTACGAATACTACCTTGTGAAATAAGATTTAACATTAATTTTGTAAAAAAGTTATTTTATTGTGTTTTTCATATACGTGTATACGCAATTCAATAGTTATATAATATATAGAGATGTATCATTAAATGCGTATATGTATGTATGTACAAGTCTATACAATTAAATATATATAATATATATATATAATATTTTTCTGTGCTTAGCACAAAGCGATCCGGTATTTTTGGAATTTTTTTGTTTTTTAGACGCAATGATTGCAAAGTTGGCGAAAGAACGGATTCCTTATAATTGATTGGAACAAATCCAGAACTATCCCTTTTTTTTTTTAATTTTTTTCAATACCGAATCGTTTTGACTGTCAAAATCTCAACAAATGTCATATCCATCAAGTAGTTTTTCAACAATAAGGCTTCAGCAATTACGCTTTTCACTGGTATCAGATAGCCCAGCTAATTCACACGATCAATACGAAATAGTTACACACTTATAAAGAAAAAAAAGCAAAGGAATAGTATTCTAACGAGTAATTGTTTAAAAAATAATTAAATGTCATAAATATCATTAATTTGATTGTAATTGTTTTGCTACAAATTCATGTACGAGAAGCACGTTGAAAGATAATGATTGTCTTATACTTACGGTCAACTCCTGTAGCAAAACGTTGTTTGTACATTCGTATAAATTATACTAATCGTTTGAACACACTATTTTTCATCGTACAATTATTTTTGGAAATCGTCAACATCACGGTAAAGTTTTTCCTATGGCGTCAATAACAGACTTACATCAAAATTTCATTTAATTTACCAATACTCCGGATTCTTGTGGAATAATCATTTCTGGAAGTGTCGTGATGCACGCACGCGGTGAACGTCGCAAGTGCACTGTCAACTTGAATTTTCAAGACCCTGCGTTGACAAAAACATGCATGAAAATGTTGAAACACTACACTTTTTTTTTTCTTTTTTTTTTTTTTTTCTTCGTTATAAAGGTAAGGTAAGGACGAGGGGGGAAAAAAAAAGCAAAAGAAGCTCAGAAGAGAGTTATAATAGAACGTACCAACTAGAGCTTCTTCAAGTTCTTCGTCGGTGATGCAGGGCGAAGCCGAGTGGGGGGACGGTGGGATGACCCGCGGCGAGGGCGCCGGACTCTTGACGATGAATTGACCGCTGACTGAGGGGCTCTGCGGGAAGCCCTGTTAACAAAAGGGTTTTCACAAGTTGGGCGTGTGTGTGCCGTTCGGCTAAAATTCGTCGCGTTCAAGCGAATCGCAGCAGAACTTGACGACAGATTTTCGTTGCCAAGTAATATTTAGCTTCGACAGATTGCTCTCGAGGAAGCGCGGGCGACTGAAGCCGGTCTGCTGAGATGTCGCTTGTGGAAAACCCAATGTTACCAGGCCAGGTGGCATCGGAGAAGTCGCAGCCATCGAAGAAGAGGGCGGCGGCAGCGGTGGAGGTAGCGGTGGGGGTGGTGGCGGTGGCGGTGGCGGGGACGTCGCGGTCTTACGCAGGGGTGACGAGGACTGATCCACGACGACGTGATCCGGGACCGGTGGCTTTGCGATCAAGGTGAGACCCTCGAGGCTCGTGGAACTCGTTTCTCGCGGCTCGATTTCCGTGGCCGTGGGGTCCTTGGACGCGAGGTCGTCCGGCTGTAGGGACAGATTTGTCGGATCCGGAAGATCGTCGAGTTTGGCCGGCTTGGCCGGGGGCAGCGACTCCTTGGCGGGTGGGATGTCGCGCTTCTCAACCGGATTAGCAGCCTCGGCGTGCTGGCGAGCCGAGATCTTGGGGATTTGGAAGCTGGTGTCGAGCTGCTTCATGAGAGCCAGGCCACCCAAGGCAGCAGAGGCAGCAGCAGCGGCGGCGGCAGCGGTGTTGGCAGGTTTGAAGCGGGCCTTGTCGAAGCTCTTGGCAACGCTCGATTTGCCGGCGAGACCAGTGCCACCTGAGGAGGTTGCGGATTTAAGGCCCGCCGAGCCAAGCTGCTTTTGCAGGGATGCGAGTGATGTCTTGGCGCCTGATGAGCTTGTGCCGCCGCTACCACTGCCCGCCAGTCCACCACCGACGCTGATACCGCTGCTGGATGCTGCCAAAGGTGGACTCGAACGCACCTGATTCATTGATTAAGAATCGTTTAACCGCTATAAGCTATATACACACTTATTCGTGCTGTACACAGAAACTTGGTAAATGATTTTTTTTTTTTTCTCTATTTTTCAAGTAATTATGCCATTCCACTTTGAAATGGTTCATTCATCGTACTGATTTTTTGACTTGAATAACAAGTATAAATAAGGCCTAGTATCGACTTATTACTATTGTTATTTTGTGATTTTGCTTTTGCTTTGTACCACGATTATTTTTACTGGTAAATTATTGACCGCGTTTCGTAAATAATGTTAGACAAATAAATTGCACAGAAAATAAAAATTTTGTGCAGTATTTTTATAATCTTGTAATTTTGATACGTGCGCTTTATAATTTAGAGAATAAAACATATACATGAGTTATTTTAAAATATTTTATTTAGTTATCAGTTGTTAAAAAAAAAATACTTATTTGAGAAAAATCAACTGTGTTGACATATTGTATCACCAGATGACGAATCTTAAAATATGTATAAAAAAAAAAACGTAAATCTTATATAAAAGTAATGCGAGTCGCACGATATTATTTGAATAATGTAATTTTACGTGGTGACAGTTAAACATTAATCGAACGCTCGGGATCACATTTAATGGGCCGATCGTGCCGTTAAACTCAACAGTATAAGAGATCATAAGGAACGAATAAAGGTAAAGTAAAGACCTTCGTCGAAGTCTGGCTCTGCGGTTTCCTCGAAGCTGGTCCAGATATCACACCAGGTTTAAGTCCCGTGTAAGTCTTGCTGGAGGCCCCATTGCCCGAGCCGCTCAGCCCCATTCCGGGAAGCTTGAGTCCACCACCGCTGCCCAACTTCAGATCTTTCGCGCGCGCCTTGTTGATCGTTATCTTCATCCCGTCCGAGCTCGGTTTCACCATGTAGCTCGAGTCAGTGCCGGCTCCCAAACTCGCCCCGGGACTCGAACCATCGTCGCTGCAGTGCCGAGCGCTCGTCAACTTGTCGATCACGGCGCTGAGCGAGCCTTTCCGGTTCCTCGCTTGCTGCTGTTGCTGTGGCTCTGTCACAGCCAGCTTGCGCTCCTTGTCCTTGCCAGGCGGACAGGCCGTTGCAGCGGTGGCTGGGGAGACTGCGGAGGAGACCGGACTGACGCTCAGTGCTCCCGATAGACCAGGCGATGGCACTGGCTTCGGCCTAGGGGTGTCCTGCTTACTCATTCTGTAGGCAGGTGAGTGCTTGGGACTGGGCGTGGACTTGCCGGAGCCCCCGGATGGCGATTGCCTGAGCGCGGATGGACTCGACTTGCCCACCAGGAGGCTCGATTGCGTTGGCGAGAGGCTGAACTTGCGCTGGATACCTGCCGGCGAGGAGGGCCTGGATGACGATGACGACGAAGACGACGACGACGACGAGGAGGAGGACGAATTGGAGGAAGGCGAAAAGTGCCTGGGCGGAGACTCGGAGCTTGGCTTTATGCTGAGCGACACTGGTTTGGACAGAGGATCCGTCTGTTTGAGCGGCAACTTGTCCGGGGGTCCCATCGGGCTGGTGTCCCGTTTACGCTTGCGCTTTTTTTCGAGTCGCAGCTTGCTGTCGTCGTAACCAGGCGTCCGCATCTTGGAGCTCTTGCGTTCTTTACGCTCGTCACCAAGTGGACTGGACTTGGTGCTCGAGCTCGAGATGGCCGTTATCGTGATCGAACTGGGCAGCTGCGTCTGCGAGAGCGAGCTAATGGGAATGATTTCTATGCCAGGTCGTCGATCCAATCCCATGCCCGAGAGCATCGCACTGTAGTTTGTACTCGAGCTTGGGTTGTTGGAGCCGCTCGGGGTGATGGGTGTGATGCTGACTGAGGGCGAGACGAGGCTTTTGCCCTCCTCGAAGAGCGCTACCACGGCCTTCTCCTCGGCGCGCTTCTTGAGCTTGCGCTCGCGACGCAGCGCCTCCTCGGTACTCGAGGCTTCCAGCGGCATGAGCTCTGTGACGCCGTCGGGGTCCAAGGTGCGCTCGGTGCCGAGTAACTCGAGACCTTCGAGGCCGGAGAGATCGAGGCCCGTTATTATTCCGGACGACGTAGGCGTTGGCGTGCGACCGTCGCTGGTTGCGTCTCTACTTCCGGTCGGCGTGCCCACGGGCGTTGAGTCCGAGCTCGAACTCTCCAGAAGGATCTCAGCGGCATCGAACTCGCCCTTACGCTTCGGGCTCTTCCATGCGCCATCGGCAGTGGCCTTGCGCTTGCGAGATTTTTTAGCTTTGACGTCTAGCGATATGCCGGGGGGAGTCAGAGCACCGACGAGTACATTCTGATGCATCGAGGAACTCAGCAGTGGTCCAGCACTGGTAGCCGAGGGTGTATCGGAGGGGCCGGATAACGACGGAAACCCGATACAATTTCCGTCTCCGGCTTCAAAAAAAGACTGCTGCGGCTGTTGATACTGTGGTTGCTGCAGTTGTAACTGTTGGTTCCTCTGCTGCTGCTGCTGCTGTTGTTGAGATGGCTGCTGTTGTTGCATTCCCGTGCCGTTCATAGTGCTTGGTTCTTGTTTGATTTTGTCGTCCTCGTTACCAAACTCGGACATACCCGAGCCATTGTGGTGATTATTTTGCTGATGCGAACCGGAGCCAAGATTGTTGTTGAAATTGCCGTTTCCCGTGCTCATTGTGTTCAAAATGAAAGTGCGGCCCTCCCAAACTTTGAGTAAGGTTCTCATTGTTAATGGAATGCTCAAGCACCGTTGCAATACTTTTCCTGCGAGTTCCGAGGTCTGCTCTGTGTTAGTAATACTGACTCCGTACAGTTTACATTTCAAGGCGGATATGTCTGATAGATCTAATTCGGCGGTAGCCAGTGTCTCCTCAAAGGGATGCTCCAAACTGACGGATATGCACTGCCAAGACAAGGCACTTACTTCGAAAATTGTCATGTGTTCGGGATCTTGACGAGCCATGGGCCTCACGCAACTTGAGATCAAAGTATTAAATAGCGCCTGCTGACGAAGGAATACCAAAATTTGCGGAACGTGTGCTGGATGAGTGAAGGGTATGCTGCCCACCAACACCCCTTCCATGCTTTTATTTTCCGTCATAAAGTAACAGTGCTGTTGGTCAGGGAGACTCTGAAAATGTTAATAAATTCTAACTTAGAAATTTTTCTTTGATAATTGGATGAGAAAAATAATGATTTAAATACTCACAACTGCGAGTCCCCTGTTATTTTGACAGTCTAATTGTTTGTCACTCGCGTGTTGAACAATCATACTAAGAAGAGGATAGGGCGCTGATATATCAGTGCACTCGAGGTCTGTTACTTTTTGTATACGACGAATTAATTCTAAACACATGGGCATTTTTTTAGCCAACTTCAGAACGAAGCATGCCGGCAGCATCGACGAATTAGAACTTGTTAACGGAGCATACGAAGGTGTACTATAAAAGGAATAATTGTTGTAGTATTTTTGTCATATTTTAAGAGCAATAAAGTAATTTTCCTTCTTTAGAAATACCTTTTTCCGGTGGAACTTCTATTAACGGTAATAATACTTGAGGTTGGCAACTTGTGAGATGTGGAGCCTTCCATGCAAACTGTAACTGAATGTCCAACTTTCTTAGATATCACAGCCTCTAAACTTAAAGCATCACAGCCTTTATTGTCTTGATCAATTAAATCATAAGGTGACACGAAATACGTTAGTTTCATGGCATGTCCACCTTTCCTCCTTTCGAGTATTCCTGAAAGATATATGCTAACTGTTAATGCTTACTCTAAAGAAGAAGTAGACTAAATACAATTTTTGCAGACTCAAACGACTCACCAACAGGGCTTTTATGTACAAGGTTAAATGGCTCTTTCATGAATGTTTGCAGTTGTGCTAGAACTCCTAAATCAGTTTCTAGAGACTGCAGAGCACTAAATGCTTTACATTTGACTTTTTTATCAGCATTCAATTGGTAAATCGACGCTAAACCTTCTAGTTGACTGGTAAAATCAACGAAATCACCACGCGAGAGACATGCAACTAACTCCTCACAACTCTGAAAATTCATAAAATATGTGATGAACAAGCCAAGAAAAAAATAATGTAAAAAAAAAATTGGTCAATCACCTGTTGTTCGGCTTTGCCTTCGTGATGAATTTTGACGTCTTTTATAGCCCCTGATGGTTCTAAAAGGACTTCCAAAAAAAACATGTCAGAGGATATAAATAGTTCAGTGGTTGTGCCCGTTGGAGGTCCAGTCATCATGAATTTCAATCTGCATCAGCATAATAAAAAAAGTTACGCAAGTGGTGAAAGAGCTAGTGTTATCAGTAGACATCGATTACTAATCATGCAGAACTCTTACCCCAACTGTCGAGAAAGACTTTCTAATCTTTCTATCATAGACTGCAGAGAAGTAACTTTGATGGAGTGTTGTAGTGCATCCAAGCATTTTTGAAGCTGGCTTTTCTCAACACTGTCCATGCCAAACCTTTTATCCTGTTACAAGAAGAAAAAGAAATTAAGCTAAAAAAAGAGCCACTGTCCATTCAGAATACATAATAGCGGTTGATGTAAGCTGTGAGTATTAACAATATTGATCTCTTTGCTCACCAGCATGGTCATGCGCATGTTTTTGGCAGTTTCAACGAGACTCTTGAAACTCGACGCTTTTGAGCGTAGCTTTTCCATAAGTAGCTCCATTTGCCATTCTTTGTTCTTGCTCGAGGAAACGGCTGTTCCACCAGTCGTTTGATCGGCTGCAAAGAGACGTAAGTATATCGAGGTGTTACAAACTGTGGGTCCAATAGATGCAACAGCAAAGTAAGTACACATATACTCATCGCACAGCTAACTCACCAAGAGACGGGGCCGTTTGACCCGTAGCCGGATTCATGAAACCGTTGAGTGGTAAGGCCCCGGTCATGATGTCTCCAATTTCAGCTTCAGCACTGATGCTATTGTTGACGATGGAGCTGACGACGTAGCGCGAAGAACGAAGCCATCATCCTTCGTAGTGCAAAAAAAATGAGCGCTAACATATAGCCTATAACCATCCACGTTGCAATCTCGAGCACCAAGAAACTACTGTGTATTATATGTATGCATTACCTGCTATGATCGCCTAATGCGTCAATAGGAAGTTCAAGAGTCAATTCGGATAACCTATACTCACCTACTTGCAAAGTATAAACTACATAGGTAGTATGATTTAAACTATAAAAATAGTTCTGGACTATGAGTATTCAGTTTGAAGTATATAAAACCGAGCAGAAAAAATAGGAGAGCGATAGAAACATTAGGAACTACTTAAATTTAAGTACAAGATAACGAAACTTCGGGGATGGTGTATCTCTTATACTATAACTTGTACATTACGTCCAGTGTCCACACTCCACACTCCACAGCATCACACACGAACTATACCAAATGGTGATGGTGATCTTAATTGCGTGTAAAAGTATATAAGGGCGCGTTTAGATGTGGAGTCCTGGAGGTAGAGTCTGATCATAATATTTTGCCAAGAATATGTGTATATATATACACATAAATAGTAATAATTTTTTTTAAATAGAATCTTTAAAGATTAATTACTAACAATCTTTCAAGACTTTTAAATAGTGTATTTTTATATTAATAACAAACAGTCGAGCAGACGCTCAGCAGACGCCACACACTGCTC